TCTCACATTCGATTCTATTCTTCTATGTTATTATTAGTTGAGATGATATTTTTTTGGTTTGATCTAATTTTCCGATCTTTGCTTCCTATTATTAATTGGGATGTTCATTTTGTGTTATACAGACGGTGCATTTGTTATGGATTCATTGGCGAGGATCTCTAAAACTGAAAGTAGAAAGCTATAACAAATATTGTGCTTCGATAATTTAGGTAAATGTCGTGTCAAAAAGCTAGAGTTTTATTAGAACTTTGTACTACACAGACAACAAAAAAAAACAATTACTAATGTAACATTTAGATTATGATTTGTAACCTGAATCAGAAGCACAATATGTAGCTAAAAAAAGAACAAATATTTTGCTTATGTTTCGCTTGTATATTACTTATATTTTGCTTATATTATTTCTTATATTGTTTTTTGCTGATGAGAATTATATTTTTTTAATATAGACAACAAGTAAGAAAAAATATAATATAGTTACACAAAACATTTTTATTGGAGTTGCTCTACGTCGCGTAATCTCTTCGTTTTAGATTTCATAAGTTTTATAGTATATCATTAGAATTTTATTAAAAAACCTCTCGATGGAAATGCTTTAACGTAGTCGACAGGATTAATATAAAAGATTAGACACATCTTTAGTTCTGTTATTTTTTTGAAATTTTTTATTTAATGCAAATAGGTAGCTAACAATGGATTATGCATTTTCTTAACCTAAGTAAAAAATACTCTCTCCGTTTCAAAATATAAGTTGTTTTGAAGGTTTTTTATGTTTCACAATATTAGTTATTTTGATAATTCTAGATACTTTTTAACTTTATTGATTATTGTGTGACTAATAGTATTTTGCAATCATTTTTTTCATTAATTAAATTATTTTAAAATTTCTCAAACGATAGTTTATTAATATTCATTTTTAACCAAAACAACTTACATTAATATTCATTTTTAACCAAAACAACACTCATGAATTACATGTTTAACAGTGATGGGTTGGACCTACAATGAATGTATGAGACCTTCTGGTCGAATCATATGAAATTTCGGACACTAATACAATTGAAGCCGATTAGCAGGTATACAAATTGGACTTTCAATTTATATTATAATAGTTTTAAATACTAAACATATTTTAAACTATTTTTATTGGTTTAAGGAAAATTGGCATATATAACCTAAAAAAAACTATAATACATAAACTAACCAAATTCCCTTTTTTCTTTCTCTAATTCTCCCTATCTCTCTCTAATGTTTTACTTAAATTTTAGTTATAATTTTTTTTTGGTTATTGTTGCAAATGACCTTTATTTTAATTAGGTTTATCCGGCGAGATATCTTGACTGCCAACCCAGATTATTCATATACTGGACGGTATACATTTACCTCACAGAATGTTATAGATCACTTTAGAGATTGCGGTTAGTCGCACGTCTACATTTGGAGGCACTCAACTGGACATAACGATCCAGATATGGAAGGTTAGTTAGGCAATATACTAAATACAAGTCCATAATCGATAGATAACA